TCGTTATAGGAAACATGTTTTAAGTCCTTATTTGCTTATACACTGCAAGTGTTACATTGGGCTAATAGCCGTCACCCTCATAAGAAAAAAGAGGAGCACCCTGAATAGTGAGGAGATTTGATATCAAGTGTGTATCGGTAAATCTTTCCCAAAAATTACCAGCCTTCAACATTCTTCATTCAGCAACTTGTTACACTCACTGTGAGTTGAATGGCTCAGCTGACGGTCCACAGTCAGGCACTGACGCCCCCTGGCGCGTTATCTCGTTATATTGACACGCTCCTTCACACACCCTGGTTAGTTAAGCAGCCATCCTCATTCCACAAGTCTGGACTCGAAAATTATTCCGTATTTTGGATGAATAGTTTATTGTGTTGACTTGTCTCTTGTCTCGACAGAACAACTATTTTGAGACCAAGAGGACAAGTACTTGCATTTGCACAAAAAATGTCCTGAATATCTGTTGACATTTTTCATATTCCTTTACTGTCTGCGTAAGAATACAGATAATAAAATAACACATTGCGTGAGTCTTGTCGTGCTTGTGACTATTAGAATGTTATCCAAGTTAGCTACTTTTTGTAAATTGAACACCAAAACAATGAATGGCCTGTGGACATCCGAAGCTAATGGGAAAAGGTAGGAACGAAATTTGATTTCGACTTTGTTAAAGTCTCTATCAAGTAATTCCCACCTCAATTGGGCTAATATTTACTTGCACAACTAAAATATTTCGTTTAGATTCTGATGAAATAGAGATAGAGGATAACCACTCAAACTGATTGAATAGAATCCAAGGATTTTAGAAGACTGGCGATGCTATCCTCTGGCTCACTGACTGCTATCCTTAAACTTAATATGATAGTGTACTACGTGTAGACTGAGCTTATCTGAGGACCTTCAGAATAACCACTGCAATTAAAATGAATATCAGTATTTGAGATAGAATGACGTCATGGTTGTAGTCTTTGAGTTTCTTGAAATTTGATATGAGCATAAAACTTGTGCACTGTGGTAGAGTGTAACTCCATTATTGGATAAGATTTTATTTTGATAAATGATACAGTTATACAGTAATATAAACTTATGACGTTTCGAGCACAAAATGTTGCTCATAATCATATCAAGTTGCTCACACAACCTTTTCCTTTCGTTAATATGCATGGAAATTATTTGTGGGACTATATAATATCCTGAGAAAAATCTCCGTCTGAATCAGAGCACTAAGTTCAGCAAAAGTATATTAAAATCGGTGGAATAAGTTCAACCTTGCGAAACTATGAGAATCGCTAATCGAGAAATCAGTATCTTTTATGCATGCTGGTCAAAAATGCTATATGTTGAAAGTATGTGGGTTGTTTGTTTCTATAGCTTGTATCGGTCACTGCATTGACCTTGAGAGCGCACCATTTTGTTTGGGTCTCAAGTAGGTTAGAATCGATAAACTCCAAAGCTTTATAGTGTTTTGTTCTGTTCGCTTTAAGTCTCCATTGTGGTTTTTGTTAAGCAATGCGCCTGAAGTCAATGGTAGCTGGGACATAACCCACCTCATAATGGCTTTCATTGGTTTCTTAGTTTCTTTGTAGTCATTTACTCAGTTTCCGTATTAATTTGCTTTTTAATACTAAGTACTTGCTACATGTGTGTAATTCTGAAGGCTCCATTATGTTGCGCCGTCTGCTTTCATCAAATCTACTCTGCACTTTATGTCCCTTTATTGCCAATGAAAATGTTTCTTTGCATGGTAAAATGATGTACTCTCGCAGCTCCTCAGTTGTGTAAATTAATTGCAATAACTTGAATGGAAAGTTGCCCCACGAGAATACAACTGGCAACTTTTGAGGATAAGTAGCCTAAGCTGTTGACGAAACACTTTTATGATCAGTTTGATATGCTTACATTCAACCATCCCCTAAACTAGCTTAGTAAGGACATAATTACTGGTTTTCCAACTTCATGAGAAGTCGAATTTGTGTTCAGTGAGCAAATATTTGTTGAATAAGAACGATAGCTTTACTCCAAACGGTACTTTTGGTATAAATATGGAATTTTCAGATTGTAATGCAATATTGTATCTAATTTTCCCATTACAAAGGCATTAATTACATTAATAACAATTTACATGAATAATATTGTTCACTAAGAAAAGAATATAAAATCAAATTGAGAGAAGACATTAACGACAATGTAACAATCAGAACAAAAATGCCGTTTACGTAGAGTTCCTCAATAAGTTGGTAATTTCCTGTCTTACACTTTTCTCATCAAATTAAATGTGTGCTAAATAAGGTATTGTAGAGATTTTGTTCTTAGTCGCCCAAGCATACAGCCTTCTATAATTGTTTCTCGTTGTACCTGATGTGATGCAAGGAGACAGTTGTGTATGGAGAGGATGTTCAATTATTTCATTTTAAAGCCTTGATTCATAATATGAATGTGACTGTATAGCTTGACAGTGAGGGCATTCCAAAGACATACTTCGCTCTATACTGATTAATGAATAAATGAGGATATTTCGTTTTGTAAAGAAATTCTAACTCTTGTCAAGGTTGTGAAAGTTGTCTCTAATCTAAAGTGAAACAAATTAACTGTCCTTCACTTCTCAACTTCATAAGCGTTTGAAGATATGGGTGATAAATTATTGTCTATATTGACTAAGCTGCAAGTTAATGTGTATAGGGTCCTTGGATAGTTTCCATAGATTGGTGTAGATAGTTGATCATGCAATTGTTTGCCAAAGCCTGTAAATCTTGTTGTGATGACTACATGTGCATCAGTCACACAGTGAAATGGAATTATTTACTGGATGAAGTTTCGAACACGATTGCTTGTTTACAGTCAGATCAGCTGTAACTCCAAAACTCCGAGGCTTAATTCTTTTCAATTATCGTAAGAGTGAAGGAACTTTCCCAATTTCCAGGGCAGGTGTTAAATTGTTCCTGTTGTATGTGTTCTCAGTTGGACGAGAAGGAGGAATATAAAAACGAAGTTTCAAGGCTGTAGAGTTATAGTTGTTTTAATTGTGACCAGTAAATTGTTTGAAATATCACCCAGGGAATAAAGCTGTTTCACTATTTGGTATATGTAATAAGTGAGTTGCACTAATATATTTGTAAAACTTGGGCTCTGTGGTAGTAAGGAATTCCAAATTAGTTTGTTTATTAGATGTATCACACAGTGAAACAGTATTATTTACTGAAAGACAAAGTTTCGAACAAAATTTATTGTTCATAATCATACCAGTTATAATCACACGACTTCGAAACTTGAGTTTCAGTTTTCTTTTTTCTCTCTATTTGTCGTCTTTGGGGTAGTAGAACTTTTCAGATGTCTGGGTGAACAGGTGATGAGTCATTCCTATTACACGTGTTTGCAGTTGATTCGATAAACAAAGCTTCAGTTATAAATCTCTCCCCCCACCCTGTTACATTAGATTCTAAAACTATCATCTTATCCCATTCTGTTTTGTGGTCGTGTGTAATTGCTTGTGATGTAGTGCTGTAGCTGAACTACTCTCTAGATTTCTTATCTTATCCGGGTCAACTAATCTAGCTTTTGCTGAGTTTTTATGCTCAGCTAGTCTGACTGCCCCTGTTCCACTACTTTGACCTATGTATTTGGTCTGACAATCATTGCAGGCATGGTATCAGATAAACTAAATTGTTTTGTTTCGTTGCCTTCACAGGATCCTTTAACCGACAATCCTTGTTTCTAATTGAGTTTGTGGGTTTGAATGCCACTTTTATTCCTGCCTTGTTAAGAATTCATCGTAAGGTTCTTTCTCTGTATAGAAGCACTAGTGATGATTTATGTTCCATTTTGCTGGTGTTGTCATTATCCTGTGCATGTTTGACATATATGTCGTCATTATTATTATTATTATTATTATCACTACCACTACTATCACTATTTATTTTGCTTTTACATTTCCCTGCATACTTTCTGACAAATTTATCAGGGTAATTATTAAGTTTCAAAGATTCTCTTACATGTCTCACTTCCTGTCTTAGATTTTCCCTTGGCACTACTTAGTTTTTGTGCTCTGTTACTTAAACATTTCATCAATCCTATTTTTACTGACATAGGATGGGATGATCGGAAGTCCAAATATCTGTTTAAATGTGTGGCTTTCCTGTAAACACCAGTGTTTAACTTCCCGACTTCATCCCTTTTTACATCACAATCTTACATTGGAAGCTCCCCTTCCTTCCTTCCCCTTCCAATTCATAAGTGAATTGAATTGCCTCTACCTTCGAGTTGATGTGTTCAAAAAAGTTGATCTATATCCTGTTTTCTAAGTACAGTGAATGTGTCATCTACATACCTCCATCATACTTTTGGGGTGGGGGTGAACGTTTCAATCGCTATGTTTTCCTACCCATCCACGAATATATCTGCCACAATTGGGGATATTGGTGACCCCATGGCAACTCCCTCAGTTTATTTGTATATTTTCCCCTGGAATTTAAATACTGTGGAAGTCAGGCATAGCTGCACTCCAAGCATTTTGTCGCCAAGTGGCACTTTCGTCCTAATTTTGAGTTCTTGGTCAGAAATGAGTTCGTTTCTGACTGTGTCTATAACCATATTTATTGGTATACGTGTATATAAACTGAAAATGTCAAAGCTAACCATTTTTTCCCCACTACAGAATTTTAAATTATCTAATCTATGTTTTAGTTCCTAAGAATTTGTTAGTCTAGATTTCTAGTGGCTTTTAAGGGTATTTAATACCATGGCTAAATATTTAGATAATTCATAAGTAGGTGAATTTCTAAAATCAGCTGTAGGTCTAATATGGTATTCTGACTTATGAACTTTAACAACACCATCTAAACGTCATCCGGGAAATAATACTGTTTTACTGTGTGATACATCTTATAAACAAAGTGATATGGAATAAGTGAGTTGATAGTCACAAACCTTCATTGGTCCAGTTATACATGTGTATTAAAGTGTGGATTGGCTCGATTATTATAGTCGTCTAAACACTCAATACAGTTTGACAAGATTTCGGACAAACTTACAGGATCCAAACGCGTTTGAAGGTGTATTAACCAAGTCTTTTTACTTCGATAGGTCCTAGAATATTAACATACTTGACGGCTTCCAAAGTACGCCATATATCTTGACCTGAATAATGACATTTAATTCCACTGACTGAATGGTGTATTAACAGTATCTGATTCTGAAGTGGTTATATTATAATAATCTAGGAACTTTGACAGAATTCATACAACTTAGCAGAAGCTTATGGAGATTTTTTGGAGATTCAGAATTTCAGAACAGACGTGACTTCACTTGAATTCCATGTCTCAGGAATTGATTTTTTACTGGGACCCTGACTCGCCTAATTAGAATACACAGGTGAGACAGTCTTTTTAATTGGTTACCCTGAACAAAAATCCAAAGATGTTTGGTATGAGACTCATCCCTGCCAAATTCAAAATGATGCTGTCTGGTTGGTCTGCTTCGACTCGTAGTCTAAGAGTAGGAGGTGAACCATTTAAGTATATTAACCACTTCACTTAGTTGGAAATTTCCATTGACCCGGAATGAATTTATTGCTAACGGAATGTCATCGTAGACACAAAGGGTTTGTTTGGCATTCGCTAACTTAAATCATTCTTTGCACTGATTCGCACTCTAGTTATCCATTAAAGGATCTATGCAATGTGCAACAGCTGTGATACATAACCTCTGAAAGTAGTTATAAAAATATTAGGAATTCGAACGTAGGTGCTTGTGTTAAATTACTTACACGATGTGGTAAATAGTGACAATATCTGGCATCGTTTGTTAGATAAAATGGTGCTTAGGTCGATGATGTTTAGCAACCATCGACATACTTCTGCAGGCAACTTCACGGCTAACGCTGTAAAGGTCATTGTCTCCCATGCAGATATCGTATGCATCTTTTTTTCTGCGAGTTTCATATTTGTGGCAGTTTATTGAAATAAAATACTAGTATTGTATTTCTAATATAGCGGAATATTTACCCACCAGGTATTACCGCTCACCTACACACATTGTGTTTCATTAATTTAGTGAACGCAGTTCCTCGTAGTCGGGCTGTGCTTGTATGCATGCATGCATATATACATCTTGAAAGGTTAGTAATCGCACTGTAATACCACTTTTTTAGCGAGGAATCATTTTCTAAGGGTCAGTCCTATTAGCAAACGAAACTAAACAAATACCAGAAAAGATATCATCACTTGTGTTTTTTTATTCCTTTACGCTGCCAGTGAAACATAGGGCTTCAAGCTAGAGGCTTAAAGTTTCAGTAACACTGGTATTTATTTTTACGGGATGGGGTTGCTAGCCTGCCTCATGCCCAACCTTCTCTTTTTACCAGTTTTATATTACTGGCGTAAAGGAGTGCGTCGGTTGCCGGGGATCAAAACCCGGACCACATATGGCGTGGTTGGCGAGCATTCTACCTCTATGCTACCGATGCACCATCACTCGTTATTTAAACAGAATTTTAAGATGTGCCCTGAAACCACATAATACAAAAGTTCTGGTACCATGATTTGATTCTTTTTGAAATTCATGAAAAATTCCCATTCGAACATTGATAGGCAGAAGACCAGTAAGTAGTTCAGCGAAGAATCTCTTTTCGGCGAATTCATTTTTATAGCTGTACAATCGCAATTATATATGGGTGTTTTGTATGTGTGTGTACATTGAATTTGTCAAACGAAAATACAATTAGTAAGTTCAAGTGAATTAAGTGTTGTTATAAGAGGGTAGTAACAAAAGTGATCAGTTGTCACAAACGATTGTTAAAAAAGAGTTGCGTAATAACATGAATACTCTGATAAAAGAGTTGTACTCAGGGTGTACGTGGAAACGAAATATACGGAATTACATAAGGGTTTTAAGCAGAAAAATAAGCATAAAAACAAAAGTTAAATCAAATCAACTGAGTTGTTACCATGAGAGTAGAAGTGGTTGAATAATTTTTTTGTATGCACAGTTCTGGTTCCTCCAACTGAATGGCTGGGGCTTCTGCGATGCAAAGAAGACGGAATCGTATTGTCTTTGGAAGGTTGTTCTTCACTTTGTAGATTACTTTGAAGGAGGCGTTTGTTGAGATGGAATAACCAGTGTTGACCAGGTGTTCGATTATTGCACTCCTTATGCAGCCATTACTTCCTTTCTGCAGCCACGCTGGATAGTGTTCTTTGACCCTTTCAGCCAGGATGCGCGTTGAACGACCGATGTACATGGCTCCACAGCAACAGGTGAACTGATATATACGCATAGAAGTGGTCAGGTGTAATTCCGTATATTTTGTTTCCACGTACACCCTGAGTACAACTCTTTTATCAGAGTATTCATGTTATTACGCAACTCTTTTTTAACAATCGTTTGTGACAACTGATCACTTTTGTTACTACCCTCTTATATCAACATCCAATTCATTTGAACTTACTAACCGTATTTTGTTTGACAAATTCAATGTACACACACATACAAAACAACCATATGTATTTGCGATTGTACAGCTATAAAAATGAATTCGCCGAAAAGAGACTCTTCGCTGAACTACTTACTGGTCTTCTGTCTTTTTGAAATGAAATGGAAATGAAATGATAATATATCCGTGAAATATTATCGCTCTAATTGTTTATTGTTAAAAGTTATGCTTTGTTTGTCAACTCATATGAATACTATTCTGTGTATTTACTTACTGTTGTCATTTATTTCTTGTATTTTAGATTATCATCTCAACTAAGGTTTACATTTTACATTCTACATTCTCGACAAAAAGACTTAAACTTTGATTAAAAAGGAAAACAAAAACAGCCAACAACATTTTTAAACTAAACCAAAGAAGGTTGAAATGACTTCAAATCTTTCTGGATATGTTTGTGTAGTTACTGGAGCTAGTCGTGGTGTAGGTCAAGGTATTGCAATTGGTCTTGGAAAAGCAGGAGCTACTGTTTACATTACTGGAAGAACACTGTCATCTGAAGGTGCTAAAGGTGGTGGAAGTCTTTATGATACTGCTCATATTATTAATGCTGCTGGTGGAGTAAGTTTTCACCAAAAACTCTTCAGTATATATTTTTAAGTTTACACTATTTTGCCACTTACACATTAGGTAATCAATCATATTAGAGTAGATGGTATTTTCTGGTTACATGAAATTCAGTAGGTGGATAGCGGTTTCAAATCAATTACCTGTTGACAGAGAGTGATAGAAATGTGTGCTCTGGGTGAACTAACACCTAGTTGAATTCAAAAGGGGAATATACGTGTTAAAGGTGAGAATTAAGGAAAAGAGAATAGTGAGAGTACTCAAATATTTAAAGCTGCGTAGATATATAATAATTTTCTAATAAACAAGTTGAGATTCAAATAAAAATGGTTGTCTATACGAATGATTTGATCGTTTGTAATAGCTGTTCACTTGCTGTTAACAATTATTACTATTACTATTATCCCCTTGGGTTCCGAGTGGAAAATAAGGCCTCAACAGCATATCTCCACTTCACCTTGTTGTCTTCAGCTGGTCCATAAGCTTTCATCTTCTCCCCACATCGTCTCCTTCATATCACCCTTGGATGTCAAACTCGTTGTTTCCCCTTCGGGTTCTACTCAAGGGCCTGGAACGCGATGTCACTCGACGGTCTCCTCAACATGTGTCCTATCCATCTTCCCTTTCTTCTATATATTTCTGGAGGAATAGGTTCCTGACTGGCTCCTTCCTATAGCTTCTTGTTGTTAATTCTTTCTGACCAACCAGCCTTCTAATCTTCGGTATAGAGCCAGGGAAGACAGCTGAAGCTGTCTGTTGGAGATACTTTTTGTGACTCATCATATAGAAAAAATGACTGACTTAACATTGGCATTGAAAATCTGACCTTCGTTCTTTGTACTGAGCAATGTTAACAATAATTCTACTCAACAGAGAAATGTTGGGAATAATCGCTAATGTCAGGTCCCAAGATATACGAAACGGAGGTTAATGACTTACTGTCTGTGTACTGCTTTCTCCATCTAATAATCAAATACCTAAAATAAAATGACTCTACAGTGTGAGTGTTGCGAGTTTTGAAGTTTGATTGGTGAAGCATGCTAGTTTTGGTTTAACCACCACTAACTATCTCTTTTCCAACCTCATAGACCTATGTGAGCTAACACTGACGATCGGTCGACGTAGGCGATCGATGGCTAGACAGGCATGCATAACACATGTCCTAACCATCTCACTCAACCGATGTAACTTCACAACCTTGTCGATTGATTCTCCCTCTTTACCTAACACTCGATCGGCGTCTAACCTGAGTATGAATATTGCACCTACCACCTAACACAGGAGACAGAACGCAGACACGTACGATCAAAGGCAGCTACCTGGGCCTTTAATGTTTTTCACTTTCAATGGTCATTGCTCAAAGCCATGTAATTTCCTAAATTCTCCTATTAGCCACTAACTGTTACATAGTGCGCATGTATTGGTACTTTAACTTTTCGTGTTTATCCTCTTTTTTTCTTTGTTCTTAGAAAGCCATCCCTGTGGCTGTAGATCATTCTGATGATACACAAGTAGCTGGATTATTTTCACGTATTCATAAAGAACAATGTGGACGATTAGATATATTTGTTAATTGTGCTTTTAGTGCAATTGATCATTTACTACTGGTTGGTAAATCACCTTATTGGGAGTATAAAAATGGTCCTGGTGAAGAATGGGATTTGGTGAATCGTGTTGGTTTACGTAATGCCTATATATGTAATGTATTAGCTACACGTATGATGATTAAATGTCGTGAAGGATCATTAAATTGTTCAAAAGATACAGTGAATGTATGTAATCATCATTTGGCTAGTGGGACACCATTAATCAATACCACAACGACTACTACTAATACTAGTAATCAGTTACCTACTGGATTAATTGTAAATATTTCTAGTTTTGGAGGAACTGTACGCATATTCAATGTTGCATTTTGTGCAGGTCAGTAGCATTACTTTCATATGTTTTGATTTGTTTAATTTACTTTTAACTTGTGTTTGTTCATGCGGATGTGTATGCTATTGTTCAGTTGATTGGTATGAGATGTTGAATACTACTCACATTAACATATCCTCCATCCTTAACTGAGGTTACTAAAGCTGTCACTAATCTGAAGCAAGGCAAAGCAGCGGGACCTGATGGATTGACTCCAGAGGTATTTAAGTACGGTGGAGACAGTTTACTGTCTGCGTTAACTGAGGTTCTAGGCTGTGTCTGGGAATCAGAGGAAGTCCCATCGGGTTGGTGTAAGTCACTGATCATCCGGATATACAAGAAGGGAGACAAGTCTTCTTGTGATAATCACAGAGGGATTAGCTTGACTAATATAGTATCTAAAATCCTAGGCTCAATAATACTGCGTAGACTAAGTGGTGCTTGGGAGGCACAAACACGAGAAAACCAGGCAGGTTTTAGGCCAGGAAGAGGGTGTATTGATCATATCTTCACCCTTCGACAGATTATAGAACATAGGCATTCCTACCGGCGTCCGACAATCATCATATTTCCTGACCTAAAGGCGGCATTCGATTCTGTCGACCGAGAGGTTCTCTGGCGATGCTTGGCTGTAAAGGGAATGCCGAGAAAATACATTGCACTGATTAAGGTACTCTACTCGTACTCATGCAGCCAGGTGAGGGCTTATGGCGAGTTGACATCTGAAGTGGTGACGACTAGTGGCGTCCGTCAAGGATGCCCATTATTCCTATTCAACTTCATCATAGACGTACTAATGGACTTAACCCTAACACACTTCAGCGACTCAGGGATTGACTTGCTACCAAGGAATAATCTCGTCGACTTAGAATATGCGGACGATATAGTCCTTCTAGGCGAGGACTCTGACAAAATGCAGAGTCTACTGAACACCTTGAGCAACAATCTTTGTATGTTTGGCATGCGATTCGCCCCTGTAAAGTGTAAGATGATGCTGCAGGATTGGACTTCACCGCCCCCTAGATTAGAAATAGGAAGTGAAGTGGTAGAGCACGTTGACCACTTCACTTACTTGGGAAGTACCATCAGCCCCAACGGGTTGATCTCAGACGAAATCTCAGCACGAATACAGAGGGCTAGGTTCGCATATGCCAGTTTGCGCCGTCTTTGGCGTAGACGTGATATCCGACTATCGACCAAAGGGCGTGTGTACTGCTCAACAGTCCGCTTTGTCCTCCTTTATGGCTGTGAGACCTGGCCATTGAGGGCAGAAGACATGAAAAGATTATCTGTGTTCGATCATAGGTGTCTGCGTTCTATCTCCCGCGTGAAGTGGTATAATAAGGTGAGCAATATTGAGGTTAGGTGTCGAGTGCTAGGTAAAGCGGGGAAATCAGTCGACGAGACTGTGAAATTACATCGATTGAGTGAGACGGTTAGGACGTGTGTTACGTATGCCTAGTCATCGCCTTCGTCCACTGATGGGAGATGTTAGCTGATATAGGGTCAGGCTGGAAAAGAGCTAGTGGCGGTCAAACCAAAACACGGCACCAGTCAATGAAATCCACAACAGTTATTCTAAGTCACGTAGGGAGATGTAGACTTCCTGGTTGGGGTCCTCGGGACGGTAAAAACCAATGAAGGCTGGAGACAATTGGTGATATGGCTCAAAATCGTTCTCAGTGGCGCAGATGCATCCACTCCTTGTGACTTATGATTTCCAATGAAACAGTTTTGTTCTCCGTTATTACTATTCCTTTGTCTCACACCTCTGTTTACTGCCTATGTTATGCATTTCTTATACTTTATTCTCTTCCTTTGTGTGCTACATGGAGGGAGTGTGGCGACTTGAACTGCCGCACATATGTGCAAAGTTCTATGTCGAAAACCGACCGACCGACCGACCCATTAACCAGTAGGGTTTTTGTTAACCAGATATTATTATTATTGTTCGCTTGGGTTCCGAGTGGAACATCGGGCTTCAACAGTAGATCTCTACTTTGCCCTGGTCTCTGCAGCCGCACAACTACCCATGGGCCCTCATCTCTTCCATACATGGTCTCCCTCATGTCATCCTCAGACACACACCCAACGCGTGGTTTGTCATTCGCGTTCCACTCAAGTGATGTCTTGGTGTGAGATGTCAACTGATAGTCTCCTCAGCGTGTGTCTGATCCATCTCCATTTTCTTCGGAATATTTGTTGAGTGACAGGTTCTTGGTTGGCTAGTTCACAGAGTTTGTCGGTACCAATTCCTTCTGACTATCTAATCTTTAGTATGGAGCCAGGGAAGGTAGTTGTTGATAAAAGCCGGCAATTGACTGTTGGAGATTATTTTCGTGACGCGTTTGTTATGTTTCTGACACGTATAAAAGAACTGACTGACTTAACATTGAAAATCCAAATCTTTCTCTTTATACTGGCTGATTGGAGAAGATTTCTAAACTGATTTCAGAGTGGTGAAGGTCAGTCTCGCCTTTCCGACTCAGCCTGGTTTGACATTCTAATCTGTGCTGTGGCCTGTAGTTAAAACTATGGTGCCTGGATAAGTTAGGGTATCCCGTTGATATTGATTGGTGCTTGCTGTTGGCTGGTTACCTTCATCATCTCTGTTTTCTCTGTGTCTACTTGAAGTCCCGTGTATGTTGGCTGTTTCTGCTGCTAACGTGTTGGTTTGCAGAAGGAGCGTTTTAATGTGGTAAGTCATATCGATGAATAGTTTATTCAGCGTTTCAGTGGAAGGATGAAGGCTGAAGACTCTTATTTTGTCGTCCATTTTGTTTGAAGACAACCACCTATAAACTGTAAACTGAGTTTTCAACTCTGAACTACAACCTAAAGCGCATCGGTTGAAGTTGGTAGACTTTAAAAAGCACACATTAAGGTAGAGAAGAAAAGAAATTAATGGTAACTAAAATCAACGGAAATATGCAGGAGAAAGAATAATAAAGATTTAGTTAACTGAGTATCTGAAGCATGAAGAGGATTATTGTTAGCTTAACCGCAAAGCCCAGGAGAAAGCTGCTTGAAATTGTTCGCGTACTGCCTTTTTGAAGTGATTTCTTGAGTTGTGTCTCTATCAAGATCTTACCGCCGATTACGGATCACCGGAAGTTAGAGCGGGACTGGCTGACTGATAGGTTTCAACAAAGAACTTTACGCAGATGTGCAGCAGTTCGAGTCACCACTCTCCCTCCATATACCACACAGAGGTAGAGAAGAGAGTAAAGCGAGGTTCAACAAAAGAGCCATAACAAATAGAAGTGTGAGTGAGGGAAAAAGAATAGTAGTAATACGAACGGTTAACAGACTTTTTGGATATGACAAATCATCACAAAGAGGGAATGCCTCTGCGCCAGCCATTACTGAGAAAGATGATTTTGAGCTTACCTTATCACCAATTGTCCCCAGCCTTCATTGGTTCTTACAATACCGAGGACCCCAACCAACAGTGTCCGTGCTGAGATTTCGTCGACGATCCACCCGACTTCGCCAACTGAATCGGGGTCAACATATAACAATCTCCTCCCCAGATTGGATAGGCAGCATAGCTGGCTTGCTGGTCATCTGAAGGAATCACCATACTGCTGTTATATCGTTATTCGCTAGCAGTATCACTTCGCCTACAAACCTTCCAACATAAGGCAAACGATTCATGCTATGCTGGTAATTGCTATATATCTGGTCGCTACCGAAACCAAAGACCTTTCTTGCATGGTAGGACCTACAGGAACATTATTTCCAGCAAATGTAGGTTGCTGCTTCATAACGATGTGCAAAACGAAGTCACCACGGCAAGGTAGCAGCCGGTAGCAATCTGGTGAATTTAATTAATCTGATAGATCAACGGAGAGTAACAACCATTTTGAGCCTATTAACAACAGGTTTCAGTTACTAGGGGTATTGGCGTCTTGACGACCCCAACCAAACATCCTACACCCCCTTTCTCACCTGAGTATTTATATACTGTATCTGTATGATTTCAGTGTATATTAGTATAGTGAAGAGATGTTATACTAAGGGTAATTAAATTGTAATAAGAATTCCGGATACTCACTTTGACCATATTCTGGACTCGTCATCCGGATATACCCTCGATCTCCAGTGATGAGTAATGGTGTCCCGATTGAGGCTGGAACATGACACTTATCGTTTCAAGCGTCACTTAGGTCACAAGACATGTCAACAGAGATAGAACATTGCGTTCCAATATAAATTAATCTACGGGAAATTAAAAATTAATAATTAGTGTTATAAGTTTGTGTTACATTAGCACAATTTTTTGACTTTATAACTAAAATATCTGTAATTATAAAAGGCTGATATTAGATGCTAGAAAGAATAGTATTATAGTATTTCAATACCTACTTATAAAATTACGTATTTTACAGTGGACTGGTGTTGATAAATAGATGTGGTGTGTTACCTTAGTTCAAAGTACGTTCAAAGATTGAATTGTAAAATAAACACTACTTAAACAGAAAGAAAAACAACTTCAGAGTAGATAAACAAAAAAACAATTTATATGACTAACTAACTGTAGTTAGACTACAAATTATTCTGTGTTTTGTGTGTGTGTGTGTTTTGCAACTTTTATGTTGACTTGTCATGTATCCTATGCTCATCATCGTTCAACAGAATCCGTAGGTTCATCTGTTTTTATTCAACGAATTTAGTTATTATTTAGTTATATATATATATATATTTTCCTTCACGTTCCCCAGTGGAACATAGGGCTTCAAGCTAGTGGCTTGAAGTTTCTGTAGCAGTGTTTATTTTACAGGATGGGGTTGCTAGCCTCATGCCCAATCTTTCCTCTTCGCCAGTATTATTTCTAGCGAGGTAAAGGAGTGCGTCGGCTGGGGATCGAACCCCGGACCATGTGCATGGTCGGCGAGCGTCCTAACCGCTATGCCACCGACGCACACTATTATTTAGTTACTGGCCATGGATTCACTCTTTTCAAAACTTCGGAATATTCATCTAGAAGCAAGTGTAAATTATGC